GGGGGGGGGCGCAGGCTATGGTCGCCGGCTCCAGTGGCTCTGGAGTTGGCCACGGGTCGTCCACGTAGTGTTTCGACCTGGAAATGAAAAGTTTAGCCTTTTGGTGCTGTTACTAAAGACGTAACCGAAAACGCGTTCCAGACCATCGAGCTGTGAGTCTGTTCCCAGTCTCAAACACCCTACGCAGCAAAAACCCCATCCCAAAACACACACATCCTGCTCGCCATTCCTCATTCTCTACTTTCCGTCGTGAAAGTGGCTTCCAAGCTCCTTAATAACGGTTAATTAGAGCAAGCTGGCCATTCTGGAGGCAAAGAAGTGAGTTGACCTGCATCCTTGCCACTTCTACTTACACTTGCTAACGTGCATACCGCTACGTCCCACAGAAGAAAAGAAGCAGCTGCCACCTATTCCTCAGCACTTGTGAATCTCCTGCTCCCCTGGGACTTCCTTCCCTGCTACCTGTCTGCAGAACCCACCACCACTCCAGGTTTCATTCAGCCACTTTTCGATAGTACTCCAAAGTGTAACACTACCAGCTGCCCCTTTAACTCGTTGAAGGAGTTTAGGTGCACGCCAAGCGAAGAAAACCAACCCGAAAGAGTTCTATTCGTGTGCGGACGGGTGTGTGTTTTGTGTGCTGAGCTGTGCGTTGTCCACAACACTCAGCGTAAATTGGAACAAGCCAATTGGCAGACCAACCCGAGATTTCGGAGACAGTCGATGGAGACTTCCGGGGGCCAAGGATACGCGTTGGTGGCTGTTGGGTCAAGGCATCACCCCAAGTGTGCGTACAGCTTTCGACTCTGCTGAAGTAGATGTTCTATATGCATCCCTTGGTACAAATACACGCATAGGTGGTTTCGCTGTCCTTTGCCTTGCAGCTTTGTTTGGCCAGCTGCTCGCCATCGGGTCACTTCCTCTCTCCATCTCCACAGCTGATGGCGATCGCCGCACACGGAAGGCTCATTCGGCCATTTCTAAGGTAATCTGTGGGCATAGGCTGGGCCTCTACCTCCCCGTTCAGGTGTTTCGTTACTGCAGGCATGCTCCTGTGACATGCAATCTACGGATGCAAATCGAGTGCTATGCCTGCTGCAGCACATCAACGACAGAGAGCTGAGACGGCTGGAGCTACCCAGTCTTCTTTCGGCCTTACTTCTACCTGTAGCATTACTGGAAGACCAAGGGGGACACAGCAGAGGCAGCAGCAGCAGCAGCAGCAGCACAGAGGCTCTGCCGGTGCATCAGCAGGCTCTCGTAATACGCGGCGCAGCTTCGTTGGTGTTGCAGCAGTGGATGTTGCTAGCAGCGGATGCTCTTCAGTTGCTGCGGCGTCTTCTTCACCCAGAAAAGCAAGCCCATCGGCGCAGCCATAGCATCACCGAACATCACCAGCTAGTGGGGAGGCAACAGCAGGATTCCAGAAGGAAAAGGGTTCGTACAGCCGGCTCCCGCAGACAAGATGACAGAGAAGAGAGGCAGGAAGATGCAGACGAGGCAGCAGAGGCAATATGGGAGCGAACAGCAGTACGCTGTTGGCCTTCACTGCATCCTCCCTCCTCAGCTAACGAGTCCGAACAGGCTTGCAGAGATTGCAACACCTAAATGAAGCAGGCACCAAGTTGTACACCTCTGTGTATGTTGTGCTACTGTTGCAGCATCTCCAGCTGCAACAGCAACACAATCAAGGAGAGGAGGAGTCTCAACAACGCCTAAGACGATTGGGCAGCGTCTTCGCCAATCATCTGCTTGAGGCAGAGTCAAGTGTGAGTGCCAGCAGGGACAGCGCCAGCCTATTGCTGCAACGGGGAGCTCCAGACCTCTTCAATGCTTGCTGGGCTGCTGTGGCCACTCCTCTTCGCTCCGGAGAGAGTCATCCTGAGCAGCAACAGCAGCATCAAGTCGGTTCGCACGAAAGGCTTCTTGCTGCAGCCGGGGAAACTCGTGCTCCTGGCATGTCATGGAGGCGGTGGGCGTTCGGCGGCCCTGACAACCATCTCCCGTTCCCCTCAGCAGCAGCAGCTTCCAGCGCAGCAGCGGCTGTTCCAGTTGAAAAAACTGCCTCAGCAGCAGCAGGTGATTTAGCAGGGGACGGAGTAGAAGACCCAGAAGTTGAGTCTGCTGACTTTGCAGATATGTGGGACCCTCTTCCAGACGAGGAGCAGCAGGAAACTTACGAGGCACAACAGCAGCAGCAGCTGCAGCAGCAGTCAGAACAGGGCGATTGTGTAAAACAGGCGCAGCATATCAATGAAGGACCGAAATGCGCTCGAAGAAAATGCGTGAGCAGCAGCTGCCGCTGCTAGTGCTGCCTGCATGCACCAGGAGACGGTTCAAGGGATCTCTTCTTGGCTAATGCTCCTTCCTTCTAATAATGTTTGTTTCCCACGTCTGTTGCAGTACGGCCACGGTGTACAGCTGGACATCAACATATCACGAAGAACAGCAAGCAGCAGCAGCAGCAATAATACGGCCTTTCCCAGACTGCTCAACACTACGGGCAAGAGTGCAGGTCCTCCGCGCCGACTCCATGCTGCGACGCACCTAGTACTAACAAGTGCTGAAGTTTATGAGGTATGTCGTCCCATAGAACCTGAACCGTTTGCCGCTGCTACCGGTGCAGCTGCTGGTAAGAATCATCCTTTGGCATGGGTAAGCGTGCCGGTGCTGCCTCTGCTGTCACGCAGCTGTACGGCATTCACCCCGTTGCTAAGCTTTACTGGTGGATGCAGCAGCAGCTACTTGTTTCTGGTAGCAAGCAGGCGTGGAACCTGCTTCACAAGCCAGCAGCGGCTGTTACAGACGTCCGCAGCGCTGTTACAGAAAGAATTTTAAATAAACTCTCTTCCAGCTCCGGGCCCTTGTATACTGCTTCTGCAGCAAACAAAAATGGTGGACAACAGCACAGTACAGTGCTGGGGGCTCCGTGTCCCCGTGGGGACTGGGAGGGAGAATTTACACTCTACACTGAGGCTGAGCTGCAGCAGCAGCAGCAGCAAGACAGCAGCAGCCGCAGGCGCAGAAGCGGGGATATTATGGGCAGCGGCGAGTACGTGGAGGTGCTGCGAGGCATCTTCGACAGCAGCAGCATGCAGCAGAGGGCCACGCAAACACGCCTCACTCAAATGCCAAGGGAATCGGTAAGACACTTTCATTGCCGTGCTGCTCTTGCTGTTGTCTCTGTTGTCCCTATTGCCGCTGCTGCACGCGAAAGCAAGCACAGCATCACGTTGCTCTACTTCTCCCTGGTTATCAATAATTGGTGCGGCTTGTGGCTGTAGAAGTGCAGCTGCATTAGTGTGCTGTTTCGCGCACCCCGGGCTCTTTCTTGGTGCACTTAAAGCCACTTGCAACCCCTTTGCTGAGCTGCAGTTGTGTTCTACGTTTGCGTATTTTTGCTTCTCCTGCTGCTGCATGCGCCTTAGGAAGCTTCGAGCACTTCCCGGTTGGGGAACAGCCGGCGAGCTAGCGGGCGGAGTGCCCCTTCTTCAGAGGCATCTCTTGAGGCACTAGCCTACGGGGACTTCCCTGACTTTGACAGCTGCCCCACAGAATTTAGCGACGACAAGCAGCAACAGCAAGAGGGGAAGCATCAGCAGGAGGGGAAGCAACAACAGCACCAGCAACATCACCACGAGGCTCATGGAACAGCCGTTACCTCTCTCAGGCTTAGACAACTTCTGCAGCAGTATGCTCTCACGCACCCTGATGTGTCAGACCCCGAATTGCCGGGCGGAGAGTCACCGGCCCAGCAGCAGCAACAACAGCACCAAGACCAGCAGAACGCATCCACAATTCCATTAAGTCGGCTGTTGCCGATAGGCCGCATTGACCCCCGCACAGCCTGTTGCACATTTTCCCACCTGCTGTCACTACACAGGCACGGCTCAATTAAGCTGCAGCAGCAACCACAAGTCTTGCCCATGCCCTCAAACAAGCCTTATCCCGAGCTTTTTGTACACGTGACGCAACAGTGGCGTAGAGCAGGTGAGTCTGAAGGGGTCCAGCAGAGACGCGAGGGCATGTCACCACAGCAGCTTGAGCAGGAGCAGCAACCAAGGTGCAACACCTCTGCGGGGTGAGCAGCAGCGGCACGACCACCAGCAGACACAAGGATCGCCCTGTGCCGTCACGCATATAAAATATAAGTGCCTTATATTTTCCCAAAGCAGAAACACCACGAGGAAGATGAACATCAGCGGCAGCAGCAGAAGGCGTCGGCACGAGGCGGTAACCAGCCTACTGACGTTACTCTGGGAGCGAACTGAAGTCGTAAAGCCCCCAGAACCCCATAATGGTGCCCTGTCACACTAGCTGCTATGTGGTACGTTTCTCCAAAGCTCTTGTTTGAGATATCCGCTCCTTCTGCCTATCCTGTTCGGTCGCTGCTACTGTGTCACTCCGCTTCTATTCATGCTGGCGACGATAGTGGTGCGGCAGCTGCGTTCTGTCCTTGAAATCCCATCAGGCACCATGGTCTGGAGGACCGCACCAACAGCTGTTCGGATGAGCATTTTGCTTGAGTTTCCGGATATATGGTTTCTACCGTTGGGCGTGCGGCTATGCTGCTCTGTGTACACAAAATATCTGTCCGCAAGCGCGCAACTCCTTTCCCGCGCAGAAGTGTTGATCTGCAATCCAAACTTGCAGCTCCATTCACTTTTCTGCGCTTCTGCGCTTGCGAACGCATGCATGCTGTTTGCATGCATGCGTTCGCATGCATGCAAACATACATAGCTTGCTCTTCACAAGGACTAAAGCACCCCAGTGGCCGTTCCCCAAGCGCACTTTCTCGTGTATGCATCTTTGATTAGACAAAGTAGGTCTGCTGGGAGCGCTAAGAAGCGTCCTTAAAACGACCCTACCTGCCCTCGTAACAAGCATGGACCAGTCTGGCATTAGCAAGAGCAGAAATAGTTGAGTCCTGATGCGCTAGGCAAAACAGATCGTCGGCTATCTGCAGCCAGCTGCTGTAGCCGGCTGCAGCTAGCAAGTCGCTGCTACCCAACGAGCACACGTTCCTCGAAAGCTGCAACTGGCAGCAAGATTGCTCATTTTCTTCGCATACAGCTGGCACAGTATGTCTTAACAGGAAGACGAATCCCATAAGCTGCAGTTGCCGCATGAAGTCCATTTTGCCCTTGCTGGGAATTCAGGGGAGGCTGCCGGCTAGCGGCGGCAGCTACCTCCCTGTCGCGGACCTGTGGACTCAATATGTCCACGTGCAGCTAACTCCGGTGGCCAGACAGGCAAGGAGATTCAAAGCCCGAGAGAGGCACGCGGCTGCTCCTTTCACCTTCCCTGCCTCCCGAGTGTCCCCTCGTGAGGTTTAGCCCCTTGACTCTCGACGGGTTCTTTTCGAGACAGCATGGTCAGTAGACGCAAAGCTGCTGCCAACTGCTTCTCCACACTCATCACGGAGAAGGGAGGAATCTGACCAGAACAGTCATGCGAGAGATGCCCCAGTCACAGATACAGTGTCAATTAGAGGTCACCGACACAAAGGTGCAAGGCTGACCAGCAACCATACCAGTTGCCTAGCTAGCCAGCTGGCTAGGTTGGGAGTAAATAGCCAGGTGGCTGGCTGTAGACCTTGCAAGCTTACGTGCACGAACAGAGTGGTGACTCCGCTAGTTTGCCCCTCCTGCAAACTCTTGAAACTGCAGTCAAATCGAGCCACACACATCAGCACCAGCGGGGGAGAGAGATGAAACGGCAGCTGGCGAGTCCTGTGAAACTATGAAGCAAAATATGCAACTTGTGAGAGTGAAAGACTCACTACACAAAATTGCAAACGAAACAACCCGCGTCTTCGGAAACACTACACGGGAAACCCTGCCGTCTGAGGTCAGCAGCAACAGGCTGAACGGAGCCCACAGCAGCAACCAGCGAAACGCACACAAGGTAACCGCAAGTATTCCTACGGAATTAGAATGCACTTTGACACACGCAGGGTAGAAGTCTTCAGGGAAGCTTCTAAGAAGGACTCAATTACTGTAAATAAACAGCGGGTAACTTCTTATTTCCTCTTGATTTTACTACAACTAGTTGTTCTCAAAGAAAACATCCGCTCCGCTGACCTCCAGACAAAGTGATGAACACAGGCAAGCCTCTAGAGGCAATGAATCCGTGATAACGTCAGTAGCAGGACGACAGCCACGGCTGTCCGTACAAGGAAAACGGGCATCTTCACACCACAACAGCGGCACCAGAGAGGGCAGCAGTAACAAAACCGGCAAGGCCTCCCGACGGTTTCCGTTCAGGCATCCCGAGGGTTTCCAGTACGGCAAGTGTGATCAAGGGCTGCGTAATGAAGAAGTGGAAGATACCGAAATTAGTCGCTTTACCATTTTTTGCAAGCATTTCAAGTCGCCAGCTGTCGCTGTGCATGCTAACTCCGAAGTGCAAGGCCAATGCCAGTGGTTCTTCAGTCATGTCTGCTGCAGATTCTGTTAGGCCTTCTTCAGGCTCCAACTGGGGTTCTCGAGCACCACGAAATGTGGTACCCGTAGCGGGCTCAAGAAAACTTCTCCTTTGGTTCCTTCTACGGAGCGCACCATGGATCCGAGGCACAGCATCTGTAGTTGCCGCCGCTGAAACTTCCAAAACTTCCCAGCCGCAAAGTTCAAATATCCCCGAAGAGTCAATAGGGTCAGTCCCCACGGGAGCGCCAGGGACCGGGAGACCTGGGGAGGAAACCCGATCTCTGACATGTTCACCCTCCATGCAGGAGCAAGCAGTCTGGGGGATATTTCGTTGGTGACTCGGAGACGGAGCAGAACAGGTCTGCTCTCCACTAAGAGCTGCTGCAACTTGTTTCACAAGGGTGGCGGAGGGGTTCTCGGAAACGTCGCCAAATGGGCCGAAACCAGTCAAGTAGAGACGGAGAAGCGGGGGACCCTTTAGGACGCGACCTCTAGATCTTCCCATTGTTCAGGGGAGGGTTTTCAGGCAGACACTCTAAATCCAACTATGACGAAACAGAATATCCTACGCGGTAAGCAATGCTGAGAGGCTGCATGCAGGCGATAAGGAGAAAAGAAGGCAGAAGGCAATACGGCGAAGTCGACTGCTAATAAACACACATGTTCGCGCAACCCCACGAGTCCCCGATCACTGACAAGGCGGAAAAGTGCAGCTACTAATAAACTAACCAACCAAACCTGTCCGAACCAGGAATCGAACCTGGGTTTACACGGCCACAACGTGTTGTCCTAACCTCTAGTCGATTCGGACCAAGGGTCACTGGCCTATTGCAGCCGTCTCTAGGGTAGACTAAAGAGTTCGTAGGGCCTCTACAGCATTGCATTTTTCTTGGTGTAACAACTAAATATACACTTTCTTAATAATCTTTGACTTCAAAGCAGAACTGTAGCAAATAGATAGAGTAGTGTGGATTGTAGAGCTAAGCGCTGAGAAACGTCACTGGTCCGAATCGTCTAGAGGTTAGGACAACACGTTGTGGCCGTGTAAACCCAGGTTCGATTCCTGGTTCAGACATTCGTAGATATGTCAGCAGTGTATCTGCTGCTGACCGAGTAGTAAGATCAACTGATAAAAGCATGCATTCTTTTGCAAACTCCAGTGCCAGAGAAATGCAGGCCATTATTATTTGAGAATTGTATGTGCCCACTGGCTGTAGATTCGCCTCGCAGGTCCTATACAGCTATAGATCAATCTAGTTTTGACAGATGGCCATTAAACTCTGCTAGACTAGATGAGTTTCGTCTCCGCTGTGTCACTTCGCCGGTTGGTGGCAGCGATGAGAAGCCTTGGGCTTGTGTGTGTTCTGCCGGTCGGCGGACAGGACAGCCGCAACGAGTTTATCCTGACAACCTTGCTGAAGTTACAGTACCTCATAGAGCCCGCACAGTTCCCTGCCGAAGGAGGTGAAGAAGGGCTTGTGGAGTTCCCTCAGGCGGGTGACACCGGTGTGCCAAGTGACCCTGCGGAGCGAGCAGCAATGTCGGTGGTGCAAGAAGTAAAAACGCATAAAGACCAACTCAAGCTGCTTCAGAACCTAGTTGCATTCATGCTGCAGAGGGTGGGTGTTGCTCTAGAGTTGCAGGCCCTCTTCCGTGCAGGGGCAGAGGCAGTGTCCGAGCTGCTGCGTCTGTCTGAAACCCTCGCGGACGCCGCGAAGCAGGCATCACATGATCAAGCAAGTAAAAAGGTGGAGAAAACAACCGTTCACCTGCAGGCCGTAGAAAACGGGGAAGGACGGGTCAGGCGGGAAGAACCTTCCGAGATATCCCAAAACTTGTGGGCTAACAGCTAATTACCTTGTCACTTCTGGGTCGCAGTTGAAGACCCTATGCAGCATGCTGGGGCCCGTTACCCATGCACTTTCAACTATACTCTAATGTGGGAAAGGTAGGAAGTGTCAGGAGAGATAAATGGCGTTGGGAAGGGGAAGCCCCCTGCAATGGACTGGACCCTGGGTGTGTTGTTGTGACACCGGGCGCAGCAAGGAGGCACTTCACACAGTGCAGGCCCAAGTAGAAAAGGTAATCGTGTCAGTGCAGAGCTTCTATGGGAAAGAACAGACTGAGGAGAGGAGGAAAACCGAGGAGTTCTTGCAAGCCCTCTTAGCTCCAGAAGGTCCCACGGGGGCAGACGTCGTTGCTGCAGCTGCCGTAACGGCCAGCAGAAGCGGCAGCAGGGCGTTATTGGGGGAGCAGCTGGATAGGAGCCGCCAAGCCCTGATGGAGGTGGAAAGACGCAATGAGGTGCTCGCCTCCCAAGTGCAGGAACTAAAGGAAAAGATCCGTGGGGAGGAGCAAAATGCAGATCGACTCAGCAAGCAGTTGCTTCTGCTGGGAGGTTCTCAGAACCCTGCGCTTGCTGCTACTGAGGAGCAGCAGCAGCGTGAAATGCAAGAACAGCTACGCCAGCTGTACATACAATACGCACGAAGGTCGGCTCTTTGCGACACGTTAACTGCATCAGTGGAGGCAATGGCTGGCCGAGCAGAGGCAGCAGCTGCTCAGAACAGGCTTCGCCTGCAGGAGGCCATGCAGCAGCTGCAGTTGGAGCAAGCTGCAGCAGCATCCGCCACCGAGACCCATACTAATGTAAGACACAAACCCAACTGCACCTTATCTGAGGCAAGCACATCCAACCCTGTTTATTCCGTGCCCATGAGAGTGGGCGCCTGCTGCTGCTGCGCCCCGGAATGTGGATGCACCGGATATGGGTTCGGAAGCAGCAGTAGAAGCGAGCTTGGCAGCCGCAGCTCACATACATTCCCCCTAGAAGTCTGCAGGCCTGCAAGTACCCTATAAATTATTGATGCCCCCTAATAAACGTCTTCTGTAACTCCCTGAGTGCCGTGTTATTGCGTGTTTGCGAGCTGCTCTTGCTGCAGTGTGTAGACACCCTCTGCGGGGCACTGTCGGAGGACATGGGTCTCACCCTGGCCTCCTCTGAACAGCTGTGTACAGAAGGGAGTGAGCTCGACCTTACTTGCATATAATCGCTTAATCTATGGCGTGACGCGCTGCGGCTGCCTTCTCATTTCCCTTATATGTGTAGAAATTGTGTATTTCACAACGAAGACGTGATATGCTATTGACCAGCGCACGGCTACCGTTCAGCAGGTGCAGGGGAGCTACGTTGGCAGAAGCTGCTCATTCAGTACAAAAGACGACCTCAGGTGTCCTCAAGCAAGGAAAAAGTAACAAACTCTCCCATAAGGATTTGAAAAACGACCTTATTGTTTCTGCTCGCGTATTGCTAGCCTTTGTCTTTTGGCTGTGCCGCTGACCGCTGGCAACCTCCCCGACGTACAGTTCGGGTGGCAGGATGCTTCTTACTAGAAGAAAGCGCTACTTTGGTCTTAGACACTTTATGGTTTGCCGTGACTACGTGCTTTTGTCGTGTCTTCTTCTCCTTCCCGGCTTTGGTTTCCCTGTCTCTGTTAGCGCTGCTTGCCGCCGTTGCACTTGTACCATCGGGCACTTCAACACTTGCAGTTTCGGTCACTTGCGCTCGCTTCTTTTTGGCGAGAGACGCGGCGATGGCCCAGGATCGTCTCTTAGCCTTCATGGCTACTGCTCTGAGGGGCACAAGCAACAAAACAAGACACCCAATCACTCGGAAGAGGGTTAATTTCCAGAGGCAGCACCTGAAAGTCGCAAACTTCTAGGTGCATAGTGTGGACACGGCTCTACCGTTCTACCTTGCAATCGGCCGTATGGGCTTCCGACGACGGCGAGACCCCGTTAGCTTCTGGAGAGGTGCATTACTCCTGTAGTTCTGATGTCCCTTGACCTTCAGATTGCGAGTTAGCTTAGATCTTAAAAACGATGGAATTTTGCTGTTGGGGCTCTTCTGCATTATCTGCACTATTGGGCGTAGTCTGGGAACGTCTTCCAACGTGAAAAATGTCAGCGCCTAAGGGAGCCACCGTATAAAAAGATACGAATACAAACAATCGAAAACCGGAAAGTAAAGTTTCACAGACAAATACAAAGCTGCAAGTAAATCAACCACAGATACAGCAAAAGGAGCACATCCAACAAACCAAAGGACGCGTAAGCAATCTATACACACCAGGGTTGAGTAGAACACCATAAAAGAATCCGCTGGAGTCGCCGTAGGGTCCCGTACACCAGTGGGCACACTACTGCAGTAGAAAGGCTCACCTTCCCCTCCTTGCCAGCTCTGCCAGTTCTGCCAATTCGGTGAATATACACCGAAGTGGAAGCGGGTAGGTCAAAGTTAATTACGAGGGCAACGCCTTTAAAGTCGATGCCGCGGGCCACGAGGTCAGTGCAAATCAGGAACCATATCTAAGAGCACGCAACATGCACATAACCAAAAAAAATGTAGATATTGTCTTTAAGCCTGCAGCTCCACGCCTCTGAGCAGCCACCGGCATGCTGCGTGTTGTTGCCCTCTCTCGCCGTCTATTGGGCGTGCGCAGCCGCCAGACAGTTTACTGGGTGTTTCGGGCAAGCAATACAAGGTTCACCGCTACCGGCTACAACATTGGCATACAAAAGCATGCGCGCATCCATGCACACACTGTAACGATAAGCTGGTGAACCGGCCCCACCTTTCCGATTCTGAAAGCGTCCACGGTTGCATCCCTCTGCTGTTTGCTTTTTGCCGCATGCAATAAGTCTACTGGCATGCCGTCAGAAAGCATTTCCTTCAACAACTCACTTGCCCGTTCTTGCGTCTACGTATCCAACCACAAACACACAGCAAGACACCTACAAGGGAGCACACCTATCGCCGCAATGCGCGTGCAAGTAGGCCAATAATATGCAAAGGGCCCTCGCACTAGACTGGAATAGTTGGCGACGTATATGCGCACAGATAATAATAATAAATCAAGAGAGTTTGAACGCATGAAACGATAAATGCAGACGCAAATGCAGTCCACAGATGACGCCGTGGTGACCCGAGGTACACTTGCCCGCAACTGCTGCATCAAGAGCTACATAACTAGGTGGAACAGCCGAGCAATGAATGAGAGGTGCACACACTCATGCAATGAGCTTTGTGCGTGCATATGTCTAGACGTGCCTCAACGAAGATCAAACAGGGGGGTATGAGCCGTCTCTCCAGGCGAAGTGTCTTCAGCGCCCAGAGCTTGCCAGCCTCAGTTGTGCAGAATACCAACTCCTGCTCAATTTGAGGAGCCGCGGCGCTGGCCCTCCCTGTGCGCACAAGCAGGAGGACACAAAACCAGTCTCGTGCGCATGTTCGAACTTGAGCACCATTGGCTGCTACAGCAGCACCATCAGCTACAGTCGCACGCACCGTGCCGCAGGAGGGTTCATTCATGATTCATTCATGAACACTGCAATACAAAATGCAGCAGCAGGCTAACATGCAAAAGCAGCGTAAAACTGCCTTGATGTCTCTGCAGCTTGACACAGACGTTGGAACCGCGCCTTCTGGTTTCCCCATACGGAGATAACTGCAGGCCTCTGAGCTTGTACCCACCGACACTCAGGTGGACAGCACCGTAAGCGATCGACTCGGCCAGGAGCACTACAGAAGGAGGTAGCGTAGCGGAAAAGAGACAAATATGCAATCGCTTCGTGCTCGATGCTGCGCTCTTAAGCTCGGAAAGGATTGCATCGACTTGGGGAGAAAAGCTGAGACAACCGGCAGCCCATCCAATACAGGCAAGTGAGATCAACAACACAGCTAGGCACCCTTGAGGGGACGGTGGGTCGAGCAAAATCAAAGGGTGCACAACAAGTGCACTAATATGCGCAACAAACTCAGCAGCAGCAACCACTCCAGCGCAAAGGCCTCGTGGATATCTAAAAACAATTTTGCGACCCACTCTGAATCAAGAAGCCGATCTGCCTCGTCGAGAACAAGATGGTTGCAGTCCGTCAGCAACAGCTGAAGAAGCAGTACAACAGCCCCCCAGATGCCGGTTAGTGAACTCGGATTCTTTCAGCGGTGATATCAGTTGCTTCTTCAACTGCTCCCCTCCTCAAGGTATCTGTCTCATATAGTGTGGGTTCACTGCAACTATGGGTCACGTTGTAGAGACAATTCCTTACCCTCTTCTCCCTTAGCAACGTCAACAGAGCCAAAGGAGTCGCGAAAACAGCATCCGCAGCGCCGTATCGAGCCCCTGGATGTGACTGAGGAAATGCAGCTTTGAAGCCTGTGCCGTCTGAGCCGAACGCAAGCCGCAGGACGTTCCACAGAAAACGGATGCACACGCTTTTCCCTATGGTTGCTAAAAGGTTTGGGAATATCACTGCCTGAACAAAGCATCTATCCTGGTATGCAGCCAAGTATGTCAACATGCAAACTTTCACTATATCGCTATTTTGGGTTGGCAGTAAAACCTTCACTACGGAAACACAGGCTGCAGTTCAGCGTATACACCATTGCTGCACTTATTGCGGCTAGCGCTGCTGCATTGCCTGTTTAGAATGCAATACATGCCTGTAAGCTTTTCGAAGGTCCTGAGGCTCTGTCTTGCCAACTCCCGAGTAGGAGACAGAACAACCAACCGGCCGAATGCGTTTCGAGGAGCCTGAATGAGCCAGTTAATGCAAGCACCCGGCATCCGATTCACGTTCTAACACTCCGCTCCACTGCAGCCTAAGCAGGCACGCCGTGTGGAGCATGTACACACAAATGACGGTGCATGTAGGTAGCATGCTGCTCAAAAGCAGCGCGTCGGAGCTGGAAGCAGATCAAGCAAACGCACGAACACGAAACGAAACAAGAAGCCGCCAGAGGAACTATTGAACAAGGGGATTGCAGAACACGAATAAGTGTCACCAAACCTTTAAACAGGCAATAAGAGGAAGCAGGAAAGCAAGGGTCTTCCCGCTACCGGTCGGGGCCGAGGCCAGCATGTGGTGTCCTTTCAGCAGTAGAGGCAGCGCCTGCAGTGCACATGGAAACACATATTTTATATAAGCAGCTGTTGGTGGGCCAGTTATTTTTTTTGAGGGACTGTCGTTTGACAAACATCAACACACCACCCGTATTTTCATAAACTAGACGATTTCCTGGCGGCAGCACCACAGAAAACCTGTACTGTAGCTTGAGGTGCCACACTTTGAGTAGGGAAGATGACTTTACCAAGATACAAGGTGCATGCAGATATCAGTTTGGAAGTTCTAGGTTAGGCATAGGCAGCCGGCAGGTGGGTGCCTCACCTGCATCTGAATGGGGGTCGGCTGCTTGTAACCAAGAGACTGCAGGCGGGAGACAAGCCAAGCGGGAAGCCTGCTAGGGCCCTCTTCAGAGTTTTGATCGCCATCGGAGAGGATGCCCCTGGCATCTGCTGTCGCTGTTCCGGAGGGCATCTGATCGCCAAAAGAAAGGAAAGGAGAGGGGACAACATTTAGGCCCTTTACGGCAATGGAGTGCCGAGCACGGACGCACTCCGCCGAGCAGGGCATCGCAGATTCTACTTGCCCCTTCGTCCTCCCATCCTCTGCAGGGGCTTTTTTCTGCTGCTGCGGTTCATGTGGCTGCTCTTCTCGTTGGTGCCGTTTTTGCAGCAGAGGGGAATCAAGGGAGGCGCTGCATTTGTGGAGGGACGCTCCCCTAGAGAGAAGCGCGAAAATGTTGTCCTGAACCATTTCTCGTCTGCAAAGCCCTCAGATTAGCTCTGGACTCCACTCGCTAGTCTACGACCGCAGCACCTTCGGCTTTTTAGGGCGGCAAGGTGCCCCTGCCCCTGAGCGGGGGCTTTACAAGACTAATAAACAATGAATCAACAGTAGAAGACCAAATATTTGAGCATAAAATATAAGTAAGAGCAGCTTTCCATCCTTAAACCATTTTCACCCCACGAGTGGCTTTGTGGGGCCCCCGTCGGACTGGGGCCCCAGGTCTGGCCCGTAGTGTTGCTGAGGCGGCAAGTTCATGTCTGGCAAGAAACAAAAAACATACACATATTGTAACACTGTTGTCGCCAGAAAAGACCGAATTTCTTACCACATTGTCACAATAGGGCCGCACGTCATACCCTGTGGCGTGCGGGTGGGTGGGTGTTTATATGAACTCTTTAGGGACTACAGATCAAGGTGTCGGCAGACTACACCGTACAACCAGCGCGTCGCACTCAGTATCATCCCTATAAACGTTCAAGAGCCAGCACTTAAGCGACCTTCTGCTGCGCTCTGAATTACAACTGGCACATAACCACTGCAGGAATCCTGCGGGTCTATCATGAGCTTCGCTGGGCTCAGCGGCTTCGACGGTTCAGGAGCTACCCCGTATGGCCAAGGGGCCCCTGCGCAGGGCTCCCTAGCAGCCACAGGCGATGCTGGAGCCGCGGGTGGCGTCGGTGAAGTGCGAGGCGTGGCAGACTTCTTCGGTGGAGGGGCGGCTCCTGGATTTGGAGGAGGCAAGAATGAGACATCTACTCCACCCATTTTTCACGCATACGATTGAGTTCACCTGCGGTCACAAAATTTAGATGCTCTGACCTTAGCTACGTGCTATTTATCGAGGCAGTCTAGCAGCTACTGCGAATGCATATGCCCTTATCTGTACCCTCTCCTCATTGTGTGTGTTCTGGGGCTGCAGAAGATTATTTTGGAGGCGGGGGCTTCCTGCAAACAGGGAATTTTCTTACACAGGCTCAGCAGCCCTCTGGGCCTCAGTTGTCCCTTATTCCCGTGAAGATAGGTTAGCCTCTATCTGTAGCTCTGATGCAGATACTTAATATTATTCACAAGACTCGACCGTAGTGGCTGGCACGCTGTTTCGCTGTTGTTTGCACTTTGCTGGAAGTCTGTGTTCATCGCTGTTGAGTTGTCGGTGTTACGCCGCATTGGTTTTGCGGGGTTTTATGATATACGATGCACGTCCTGCCTTTGTTTTGGCGTTGCAGCACACGTGTACAAGGCCTGGATGCAAGATCCGAGCTCGCTGCAAGTATCTTACTTCCCTTCTGGCCCCCTTCTCCATCTGGTGAAGCTTATCGGGGTAGTGGATGCTCCTTCCAGAGGTGAACAACGGTTTGTGTGCAAGCGTGCGATCTACATCTTCCAATAGGTCGACAGATTGTAAAAGTGTCATTCTTATACGTACCTGTTTATGCAGTCATTATCAGCGAATTGACTGGTATGGATGCACATCAGGGGGTCAGTAACTGGTTGAGGAGTCCCTGTAGATATGCACACAGAGGTAGGAGACGGTGCGCCTCTCAATCTTCGTTGTCCGTGGGCATTGTGCTTCTTACATGCAGAGACGCTTGAATCGGCACTGCAAAGCGCGCGGATTCAGTTTACCCTTGACGACTTCACTGGGAGGATAGAATGCGAATATACAGTGGGAGACGAGCTGACAGAGTACCGTCAAAACCAAATACTTGTAGGTCATTGCACTTCAGATTTGGCCCTTCCATTTATCCGTATGTTTTTCGCATCGCCTTCTGTTCGAATACTGCCACCCAGCCACTGGATTCTTACCACTGCCTGCCTCACAAAATGGCATCCAGCAAACTCCTTCTGTTCCTTCGTTTCCGTGGCGTTGCTGATCACTGTGGGGTTCCTTGGCTTCGGCATCATCACCTACCCCCTAAACACTGGTATTAGGTGCATCCATCCATCTGGGGGCTAGCTACTTAGTAACTTGCCTGTGTGCAAACACCGTGCAGCAACGACATCCTTTTAGATTTTCAGCTTGAGGTTCGGTGCAGGATGCCTTGTGTTGCGGGGGCCTAGTTACGATCTTCGGTTCTATCAATTTGCTTGGAAAAAGCGAGCCTTCCCTTCGTGTGCATGCAATACGGCAGACACAAACGGCAGGTACGAAATTCTGGGCGGGAAGTGCCGATATGAGGGTTGCGTGAACAATATTAGCCATGTATCCGTGTGGTTTTGCCTCCGTACTACTGATGCTGCTACTTTTGCTGCCGCAGCGGACCTCATTTATCACGAATCTGCTTGCCAAGCTGCTTATCTGCGCCTCAAGTATCCCAACGACGAGCCTGACGTCGTCCCGTCAACTGGCCAGCAACAGCCGATGAACTTGCCGCCGCCGCCGCAGCAGCAGCAGCAGCCATTCGGAGTCCCTCAGGTGAGAACTTCGTTAGTTTTATGTAGTGTGGTGCCTGGATCTATTGGACTTCTGCATCAGGTTCGTCTAGTGTTTATGTGTCTGCGTCGGTGCACAGCGAATTCAGGGGGCCGCGCACTCTGCCCAAACTGCTTTTCCATTTGGATAACGTTCAGCGGGAGCAGGCAACGACCACCTGAACTAGTGCTGGGCAGCCCCTCTAGTCTTCGCGCACAGAGAGGCACTTTGAAGAGAGCTCCCTGTACTTGCTTGCGTCAGCGCATATGCGCGTGCGCAGAGCGGCACGATGCTGAACGTAGGCAGAGCGGCACGGGCAGCTCAGAGATGCTGATATGCACATTGTACTTGAGCGTTTAGATCTCTTGTACTAGGGCAGTATCCTCTGTTTACACTATGCAGTGCGGAGTGCTGCCTTCACACGCCGCATGCTTTGACTATCAGGCCTTTGACTAACATCATAGCTGAGCATTGGGAATAGGGGAGAACGACGTCGAATGGCCGAAGCACCTGCATTGAATGTGCTTGACCGCCGGTTCGCTTGGTAATATGCTACCCCTTGTACCCAACTCTTCCGATAGTCCCCTTCGATGCCTCGTACAACCGGATGCTGAGGCGTTACACAGGCGAGACAGAAGGACTATTCCCTGCCGTGCAAAGGTAGTTTCTGATATTGGGAATGTAGCTTTGTCTTCGCTATCTATGCATTTGCTACTTTTGTAAGCTTTAGTTGTAGTTCAGATGCAACAACAGCACTGCAGAGTAGCAAAAGTAAAGGAGTGGGCGTGGCTTCCTGTAAATTACTCACAATAGTGAGCATATTGTACTGGACCGAATATAGAAGCCTTTTAATGACTTGCTGTTTCACCCGCCAGCAGCCAGACGCCACCGTATTACCCGCATATGCCAGTAGCTCCTTTTTTGATGCTTTCCGCTTGCTCCTTCCGACGACTCCTTTGAACTGTTATATAGAAGTCTTCATCTGCTAGCCTCATTATGTTCCGCGTACTTCCGTTTCATGATTTTCACTGCAGTCAAAACTTCCTTGCCTATCTGGGCCTTCGGAGGCTTGTTTACAGGTCACTGATCCGAATCGTCTAGATGTTCGGACAACAGTTAAATTCCTGGTTCGGACAGTCTCCCCCAGAATGCATGCACAATGTTTTTCTTTGCCAGTGTTCACTAGAGGCCAACCCAATGTTTTTTGCGGTCCAGCCCACTCCCTAACATTTCATTTGCTGTGGTCAAGTCGTTGGTGAAGTTGTATTTGTTGTTTGTGTATATATTTCGTATTCGTTTGCAGAGTGGGTGATGCGGGGTCTTTGGTTGTGGTTGCAGAGCTGTGGAGCCGAGGTGGCTATGAAAATGTTGGGATGGCAAGACGCGCTGTTGGAGTCGTGGGTTGGGGCAGCTAGGGGCTACGAATTCTGTGGCATAAAGTGTCGGAACCGGGAATTGAACCTGGGTTTACACGGCCACAACGTGTTGTCCTAACCTCTAGACGATTCGGAACAGTGGTCTGAAGGCAAGCCTGCGAAGGCGTAGCGACGCAGGGAAATTGTGAGCAACAGCGCGATGCGTTGCGTAGGCACAGGGATAATTGTCTCATTCGAACTCGAGAAGGTATATTTAGCAGTGCTCAACAAGGGCATGGTGGCTTGAGACGAAACAGGCATCGCGAAGAGGAAGCATTTCAGGGTTTCTACTGCACGCCATTGCTGTGTGGCAAGACAGATGTGGAGCAACAGCAGCAGGAGGCCCCAAAGCAGGGCAGCAACACAAGCAGAGGTAGCAGCAGCAACGGCAAAACGATGACACGAGTAGCGGCAGCA